CGCCCTTCCGCGGCCGGGCCCCGCCACGTGCGTAGGACGCCGGGACCGGAGGGGCCGCTCCGGTGACACGTAACCCCGTACCCCCGGCCCCTCCGGTCTGGCCGAGCAGCGGCACCTCCCAGCGCCGCCCCGCCTGCCTCCCGCACCTCTCAGCGGAGCGCGCAGCCCCCCTCACTGCGCGGCGGGGACCCGGGGGACCCCTGAGCCTAGAACCCCGCTCTGCGAGACGATTAGCCTGGTTTATGCAATGTCTGGCTTAAATCTCCCTGGTTGAAATCGAATCCTATTAATTCCATCCTCAAAGCTCGCCTGGAGAAAAGATAATGCTCAAATATCACGGTTGAGCATCAAAAACCTTCTTGCGTAATCCCCTATTCCGTAACGAGGGCAGGTAAAAGATGGCGAAACCACAGAGCCGGCCCCAGAAAAGCCCAAACAGCATCGATGCCCTGGGCAGGAGCTCAGGTCTAGTACATACACTCCAAAATCAGGAAAGTATGATTGTGGCAAGAGGGCAGAGGGATCAAGTGGTGCTGACTGTCTCTTTGGTGTGGATGTCATCATAAAAATTAGGAAACTACTACACAGCACCTCTTTGGTGCTCCACGTTAAGTAGAACAATTATATTGAGGAACAACTTATGAGTAGTTTTTTCCTCTTATCTGTTAGCCCTTTTAAGACTTATCTAACAAGAGTTACCTGTGTGCACTCAGGGCGGGGGGCTGGGATAAGCGAGGGGACGCTGCCCACCAAAGCCTTATCTGCAGCCACAGGCAGTCCTTGGCTCTCGGGCATTCCATCAGCCAGTTCAGGATGGTGACACAACGGAAAACTTATCTCTTTCCTTAAGAACAAAAGGAAAAAAAAAAAAAAAAAAAAAAAAAAAAAAAAAAAAAAAAAAAACAAAAAACCTAACACTGTCAACTTCAGCAAGAAATACCCCGGAGAGCTGGCCTCATCCTCGGAAACGGGCAGGACAGGAATGCGGCGTGGCTGCAGCAGAGGTGCCGGCAGGCAGCACGGTGTTTCAGCCCGCCCTCTCCTCATTTTGTGACAGCTTTCCGCATAACCAGGCATTTTGAGAAAAGGCAAAAGAAACCCAGCTCTGCGTCATCTTCCCTCACAAGGCGGACATAGGTGTTTCACGGAAAGGCAACCAAAAATGCACCGTTTCCCTGTAAACGCCTTCGGACACAAGGCTGCAACCAGCTGCCATTAGCTGGACACTCTGTAATGAAATTCTCCATCCACACCAAGCTCCCCAGAAGAGCACCGGAGCCCTTGGCAGACACCGGTCTGATTTTTCCACCCCAATTCACACTGTTCTTTCCCACAGCTAGGATGCGCCTGGAAAAAATTCTTCATAAATTACTAATGATGATTTCCTTCTTGCAGTAATTGAGCAACGTTGTTCCTAATGTCTTGGGAAAGCGCTGGAAACACCTTTACTGTGGTTTTGCTCAGCTTTTGGGGGTTGGATATTTTTAATATTTAAACATATTAAACAAAGCAACCCAGTTTGCCTTGAAACTGCGCGGGCTGCCACTAGAGGGCAAAGCAAGCTCAGTAATCATCTTCCCTCGGGCAACAAAGAAAACGGCGTCATCTCTCACTGACCCCTGGTCGTCGCGGTGGGATCGTACTATGAATTAACAAAATAAGCTGGGCTTTACCCCCTTAGCTCGCTTCAGGGAGTTACGAGCAAAAAAGCCAGTACCGAGGGGAAGTTAAAAGGTTACCACGCATAAGGCCCAAAAGAGGACGCGTCTGTCAGCAGCCGCCCGTCACCGTGACTCAGGGTACCCGGCACATGGGAAAGCGCCGGCCGCCTCCTAAACTCCAGAGGGAGCAGCAGGACGCGCACTAGCACCGGCTTTAAAACCCAGTGACCTAAATATTATCTCCCGTAGCAGTGTAAGGGCAGCTGCTGAGCGCGCTACGTTTTAACGCGAAAATGTGAAATCGTTTGGGGGTGGAAGGGATTAAAAAATTAATGAGCAAGGCGTTGGATCTGCTCAGAAAGGAAAGAAAAAGCTTCAGAGTAAATACTTTCATTCTAAATCAACACCTCACACAATTAAAAAAAAAAATCTTACTTTTTAGGACTGGTTACCTTTGAATTCGAAAGTTCCATATCTTTCAAATATACCAACAAGATGCTTGTTTTCCACCTGAGAGCGAGTTCTTGCTGTAGTTCTCACAACAGCACCTGTCATAGTTGCAATTAAATAAATATCACGACATTTACACAAATTACTTATTTACAAGATGAAATCCTGACAATTTGTGTTTCAGCCACTGTAGCTCTCCATTAGAAAGCAAGCAGAAACGATGCCCTAAGGGTAACTGTTGAGTGTTATATTAAGCAACGTTATTTTATAAAGTCATACAGTACAATGCCAGCACGTGCTAACTACATTTCATAGATTCTAAACCAGAATCACTTTCAGAACAGTGTCTGGCAATGATAAAACAGACCTCTGACCAAAAAGTGCATTGAGAGCCTTAAGTTACGTGCAAAATCCTATGGAAACGGTGTCTTGCAGATAATTCTGCACGTGCTATTTTTCACGCCAGTAGGAAGCACCATTGCCACCAGTGGGACTACTCACCTCTCCCAAGTCGAGGATGATCTTAAATTCTGCTTGCAGGCCTGATGGCTTTTTTTTCAACTCAAAATATCAAAACCCATGACTTTCTTATCCTGATTGTAGGGAGCTGCTTAGATGCATTTCATGTTAGATACACCGCATGCAAACCGTACTTCACTGTGCCTTTGTCTGAAGTGCATAGAGGGCAGTAATCATGATATTAGCTGACGTTTAAACTGTTCTTCTCATCCCTGGCCAGACTTCTGTTGTCTTTTTTCACCATTTAGAGTCTGAAGCATCACTGATTAATCTGAATTACTGCAGTCAGTTTAATTAACATTGCTTTGTCTTTAAATAGCTGCGCCTAAATCTGCCTAATCCTTCATTGGTTATTTTAATCCTTGTTAAGTTTGTCTAACAATAAAATAAGCAAACTGTTATAAAATTGAATGAGCAGTACTGAACGTTTTAAGCAGATCTCATGACTGTCCACAATTTATGTCTGCTTCAATTTTGTGTTCAAGTTCTTAAGAAGTTCCATATTCTTACACAACCGGGAAAACGTTTTAATGGAAAACTGTCCCTTTTAGCAAAAATCTGTCAGTCTGAGGACTTTTAAGTGCTAGAAAGATCTCTTCAAATGTAGAACTAAAGTAGTCATCAGGTTTTCAAGTACAGCTGGCTCTTTGCAGCAGCAAATTTCACCTTCACAACTTGTAAAATATTCGGGAGAAGTCATGTACCAGCACATCCCCAGGGGTGCGGCATTCCCAGGCTGGTCAGCAGGGGTGGGCCTCCGCGCTGCACCGCTCTGTCACCCCTCATCCTCCGGGGGGCGTCCAGAAAGCTCCTGGCAGGGAAACACCACAGAGTCGTGGAACCCTGAGAGAAGAGGGAGCTGTAGGTGTCCCCGAGACGGGGTGGCACTGACCCCGCCGGACTCCTCGGAGCCCTACAGCCGCCTCAGCGTGTTTTCACAGGGACGCGCCCAGCCCCGGCCCCACAGAACACCAGCGCCAACCGCGGCGGGCCCGAGCCGAGGGGCCGCCTGAAGGGAGACGCCTTCAGCAGCGGGAGCAGGGGCGGGGGGG